CAGGAGTAGGATCTGAGAGTCTTTCTGAAAGGAGATTAGGGCATGACCATCGTGGGTTAAAGCTTCAGTCAGCTTAGTACAACCATTAGCAGACATTATGATAAAAGCCCAAGTGGACTTTGACAGGTATGAGGGTTATAATCTGGGTGTTTGATTCTGTCTCCATTGGTAGGGTTATAATCTGGAGAGAATGTTTGGTCGTGTCTCAATTGGTTGAGGGAGGGAGGTGATAGAGAGAGTACTGCTATGCTAGGTGTGTGTCTGCTGAGAAATATGGATAAATTATTTTATATGATGTGAATATTCATGTATGATTTTATATTTTTATTGAAAGTATGATAAAAATTTAAGGTCATTAATAACATTTATTGTGAGATTTGTTATCAAACTATTAAAAATCATAATACCACATGAGTTATATTTATTATAGAAAATTAATTTTTTCAAAAAAACATGAACACCATTGTCATCCTCTTTCTCTGTAATTAATGCCGCAAGATGCTTGTCGTCCCTTTCCAAACATATCCTCATCCTTGGGTCTATTTGAGCTTTCTTATTTTCAATGCTGCATTTTATAACTCGCATCAATTCAAACATTCAGGGTAACATTTTTATCATTAAGTTGGCAAATATTTGAGTTGACTATGGAATGAAATTCGTACTATATTATCATAAAATGTGATACTAAATTAATGTCATTGCCCGAAATAGTCATGTGTTAAACTAAAGTGATGTATAATTTAAGTCTTTAGCGAGTTAAAAATCAATAGTGGAATAATACAATGTTTTTACTAGGTGTTACACCCGCAAATTGCTAATAAATTACATAAATGTTGGATTTTAAAATTTTATTTAGAATTAATGAATTATATTTTTAAAATATATTTTTAGACTACGTTTATAGTACAAATAAATTTAATTTATGAACTTCATTGAAAATTCAATTATAAAGAGTGGTATTTTAAATAAAATTAAAGAACCACATACTCTTTAGTTTGGATCAAGATTCTTTATTTATTTATTTATTTATGTTGTTCTTTCAAGATCTAATGCATTTTTTTTTAATTTTATTTTATTTTATATGTTCTTACATGTTATCTTAAATTAAATTATTATGTTTGTTCAAACATTAGAAATTGAAGTGCAAACTTTCAATTTTATATTTCATATATTTAATTAAGTCAAAAATTGAAGTTCAAACAATTATTCTCCTCCAAAGACCCACGTGGTTTCCAAATCTGTGTTTGGTCATATTATATTTTCCTTAATCGGGATTGATTAGTGAAATTAATTATAACAAAAATCTCTCAAAATATTTTCCTGCCCTTCCTATTTTACCCGAATCTAATACTAATTAGAAGTTAGGATCATTTTCCTTTCTAGTTTGACTCCTACTTTTTTGTTTAAATTATTTTCCCCTTTCGATTATTTTCTCTCCTCTATATATGACATCCAAGGGCTTTCAATATCGTTTTAACTTAATTTGCTGTACATATATACTTCCTACTTACAGAGAGGAAGAAGATCAGGGAAATAGGTCACATCAATTACTCCTCTTCTCTTTACTATTATATACATACATACATATATGTGTGTGTGTGTACAAATATTTATTTACATAGTTCTGCACGAGCCCTTAATTTTCAGTATTCAAGATTTGTGTTTCAATATTGATTGATCTTTGAACTTAGCTGAACTATATTCTCTTTTCTTCATGTATGTTGAGAAAATAAAAGAAAGTTAATCAAGGATTTACAAGTAATTACATAAAAGTCATGCATGCTTACATATATATGTATATCATGATGATAAGATTAATTATTCTAATTAATTAAATCAATTAAAAAATTCCTAGTAAATAATAGTTCTCATGCATGAACATTAATGGAGATTATTTCTTAAGTACACTCTCCTCCACCTGTCTATATATTAGCAATATATGACCTTCGTCACCATTGAAGCTTATAATTGCACTCGTTTTGTTTTGATTTTCAAAAAAGGTACCCTATATGCATATATACATGTATGAGCATTCGAGTTATCTTTAATATATGAATATATCCTAATGGGTATGTGTATATATATATATATATGTAATTTTTGTTGCAGTATTCGGTCATCATCATGTCTAGGATCTCGGGAGTGATGAAAGTTGCGGGAGCGATGGTGATAATAATGATGAGCCAGCTGATGATCTCGGTGTACGTGAGTGGTTGCAGAGCGCATCATGAAAACGCGCCGCCGGTTTATGGTGGTGTTGGTGGTTGGGATTACAATGGCGCGTCTGCTACGATATCCGCCGGCGACGCTTTGGTCGCTCTCGTCGTCTCCGTCTTCTGTTATTTTCTGTTAGGACCTGGACCACTTTCTGCCTAGACTAGACCCATATGTATAAATACATATATAGTTATTCCTCAACACTACATCAAGATAAATGATTTAATTAGTTAGTGTTTAACTTTCTGCTAGTTGGAATTTATTTATTTAGTCCTTTGTTTGAATTCCTTTTGGTTCTTCAGATTAATGAATAAAAGATATATTCCCAAATCTTTCTTCCAAGAAGCTTGATGGTATGAGTTGTTTAACTGCTGAAATTGAAAGAGAAAACCATATACATGCAAGAAGAGAGTGAACCCAGAGAGAAAGTTACAGTTTTACAACTTGCACAAACAGGCACACAGCAGGACTAAGGATGGATTAAGAAACGAAAAGACCTAATTGGTGACAGGCTGACAACTTGTACATTCTTGGAAACTTGATGAAGAACATTGAAGGCAATCAATCCGACACATTTGCTGTAATTTGAGTCCAATGTATTACCAGCTTCGACTTAGATCTGGATTTCTTTTGTGTTGTGCAGAACTAACTCTACCATCTAACCGAAATTCACCAATGGCTGAATGAGTTAAACACTCTCCTCGGCCAAATTCTTTAGTTACCGAAACCTGTAATGGAGACCTTGGTAGACTTCAAGAAACAAAATCTTGGACCTATGAGTGAACAAAAGAGTGAAGAAAGTGCAATAAAGTTTTTTTTTTTTTTTTCGGAGTAGGAAAGTAAAATAAAGTTATCAAAGTCATCATCATCCTACCTTCTTTTTCTTCATTTCATCTTCAATCCTCTGATGCAGAATTTGAGTTCCACCTCCTCACTTACTGTTAGGCAAACATGAAGCTGTATGTCTTGTGATTCTCACATCAACACTGGATTTTCATTCATTCTACGCTCAAGACCCATGACGGAATTCCAAACCTGGAATCCAAAGCCGAAAGGAATTTCATATGCTAAGAACCAGAGAGCCTTTTCCTGTTCATCACCAAATATAGCAGCTCAGCTCTGGAAACATGTCAAAAGGAAGATGGGTTTCTATATTGGTCTAAGATTCACCACCCACATTTAGGCATCATCTCATAATCATCATAAACAAAAGATCTCCACTAAAAATTAGCACAAACACGGAAGATAGTTTCAAGAACATCTATAGCCACCATAGACAAATTATCTCCTTTGTTAAGTCAAAGCAAGAATTCGATATGCATTCCTAGTCTCTTAAAGAAAGATCAAACACGCACAATAAGGTTTATATGCTCCTAACCATCCTCATTCCTTATTTCATTAGGCTTGGTGTTGCACCAGAGCCTCATTCCTACCATAACCGTTAGGCGAAACGAGGCTCTCAATATAAGTATCTGCTTCGATTTCATCCCCTTCTGGAAGTCCATGGACTACTAAATCCTTGCATGTGTGATCTCCAAAATTATACAAAACAAGTCTTCCATCTATATCCATCACCGCTTCTCCATTCTTTGAAAAACACAGAGGCTTTATGCAAAGATACGATATGGTGATTCTCAACCTAGCCCAAGATTCACCAACGCCGTACTCTCGCATCAACCAAAAGTCATCATGCATCTGACTGCAACTATGGAGGACGCACAAAGATTCATCAAGAACCCCCACAACAAAGTCCATAAACAAGTGTTTGCAAGAATCCAAAAGATCTGGTCCTGGCATATCCCAAAACACCTCCTTCCCCAAATCAAAAGTAGCAATTAAACACTGGCACTTTTCCCCATTTTCTCGTTTAACCACCCAATGGATTGCACCATTGAGAAAAGTTCCTGATTCAGAGAAATTATACTCGTGAGGAAAATCCATAGTCCTCCTCCAAGAATCAGTCTTTAGTGAATAAACAGAAGCAACAGCAGGACATGCAAGTTGTATTACTTTATAATCATCATTCATAGAATCAAAACCAAACCCATAAACACTAAGACTATCTAGACCACCGAAAGAAGTTACTCCAGGGCCTTGACAGGACGGTGGGTGTGGGATTCTTTTAGATTCTCTTGTACAAGGATTAAACAAGAAAAGAGTACCTTCATCCGGAGAAATACAAACCAATCCATTACAAGAACCCAAAATCTCAACCCAATTTCTCGCATTTTCACAGCTGTCATCCTTAACATACCTCCTCAGTAGCTCAACCCAGTAATTAGGGTTTATCTTTCAAAGGATAATCGAGCTCCTTAGCCACTAAGTCATCAGAACCACCATCTGAATATTCTTCCAATAATTCACCTCCGACCGAGAAGAGATTACGAGACGATACGATCAGCTTGAGTCTTTGGGAGTAAATTTCACAATCTTGAAGAGCTCGATCGAGGTGTGATTTCACGAATTGGGGATCTGATACTAGAGAGCGCCATTCCTTGGAAACGCATCTGATTTGTAGAGGGATTTGACGGGTAATCTGGAGAGTATATCGGCGATGATTTCAGGAGGAAGATCGGGCAACTCAACTGCTCCTTCTTCTTGTTCTCCAGGTGGGTGGTCTCGTCTTCTTCGTTCTCTCCTCGTAACCTCCATTTTCTTAAGTTTCTCCTGTGAGCAGATGAAAAAGACGTACGCTTTTTCTTCTTCTTCTTCTCTTATATCTTGCGGCCGTTCTGGTTTTTTCTCTTTGAAGTAATTGTCGGCTTTCAGTTGCGAAAAACTGACCATCGATAGGAGCGATTCATCGGACGGTGTATATTTACTCCCCGATTTTTTAATTTATAGAAATATATTTTAAATAATTCTAAAATATAGTATATTCTATAAAATTCATATTTATTGAAATTGCATAATTATTTTTTAGATTTTATTTTTCTAATTTTCCTTTCATAATTAAATCCGTAAGTTTCATGGCCAATAACTCTATGTATATGTAATTAAAATTAACAAACTAATTATTTATTAAAAGCTCTATGAAAGATATTTTTGTAGACACCAAAATTATCTCGATTAAAAATCTTTACACAAAGATATAATGTCTCAAAGTTGATATTTTGAAAATTAAAATGAAAGTATGTTACACACATGTGGCCTAGTAACACCTCATGGCACGCTAGAGTCATGCATCGCCTTCTTAATTATTTAGTTTTTTAATTAAATTTTTATTCGTTAAATTTAATTTTTTTAGATATTTTAATTAATTTTATAAAAAATTTTGAAATATTTTAAATAAAATATTAAATATTTTTATACGACAGATAAGAAGTTTTAGTAATTTTCTTAAATTATAATAACTTAAATAATAAAATAAGAAACTAAGAACAAACTAATTAAAAATAATGGGAGTATGAAAAAGAGATTAAAAACCGATTTTTAGAGGTTCAACAATCAGTAAAGTGCTTATTTTTTTCTACTTATGCAAATTACTTAAGAAAAAACTTTTTTTTTTTATTTTGAGCAAAATATCCTTATTACAAAATATAAAATTTAGCTTAATGGTCTTGGTAAATTCGAAACTTAAAATCACTAGTACCCATAAAAAAAAACTTACTTTTTTTATAGCCTCATAAGTAAAAGAAAGAATTAATAGATTTTTGGATAAATTATTATATTAATTTTTAAAATTTGTAACAATTTAATTTTTTAATATTTTTATTTACAATTTGATCCGTAATTTATTTCTTTTAAGCATTTATTTATTTTTTCATTTCCTGATTAAAAAAAGTTCAAATTATTAAACTATACCTTTTTAAAGAAAAAATATATTGAAATAAAAATTCTTTTTAGATCCCTAGATCTGTAAAAATTAAACAAACAATCTTATACTGAATTAATGAGAAATATAAGCGGAAGTGCACAAAAATTCATTGTAGAAAATTTGTTTGCATCCGGTAATAGGATCTTATGCATCAACACAGTACCTTGAAACTAATTTTTTTTTTTTCTAGTGACGAGATTTTAGAAAAATAAAATAACAACCTTGTGATTCAGGGACCATAACTGCCTTTTATATCAACAAATTTTTATAATTTCTATTTTGTTTATCATAAAATGAGAATATTAAAAAAATGGTATCTGCACATTACAAACTCATACTTAAACCTGATTTATTAAGACCCAATATTGTTTAACCATATTTGATCACTTCTAAATGAATTAATTAAATTAATAGCTTAATATGCATACCGAGGTCTATATTAAGCCCACACATTAGAAAAAATCTAACAATCTTCCACTTAGAATTTACGTGACACCTTAACTATGTTTTAAATAACTGTAGGAGTACTCAGAACTGTGCTATCAATACTTGAATGCATTACCAAATAATCCTGTCAATCAATCATAAAGACATAGGATCAAAGCGGCATTCACTACAGCTAACATATCTAAACTCATCAATAGTCACGTATATCAGTATAACCGAACAATATGGATCAAGTATGGATGTGCAACATGAAAATTGTATGTTATGTGATCTAAGTATGTCTATTTCTAACTGGTCATGTCTTAACCTTAGTAAAATCAACTATAAAAAAATTCAGAGATAATAATATATATAAACATAAATACAAAAAACTAAAATGAAACCATATATACATAAGTCAAACTAAAAATACAAAATTTATGATATGTCTTACAAAATAAATGCAATTATGGTACAAGACTCCCACTAAAACTACACATCATCTAAAGATACAACACTCATATGAGTAGTGTGCTCATGAAAGACCTTAGGTGGTAATCCCTTAGTAAACAAATCTACAATCATGGAGTTTGTTTCAATGTGCTCTATTGATATCTACATACTTTGAACTCTTTATTTAACAATAAAAAACTTGATATCTATATGCTTTAACTTTGTCAAACTCCTGTTGTTGCTGGAACACATAACTGTAGATTTATTATCATAAAATAATTTTAACGATCTTTCTATGTCATCAACAAAACACAGCCCAGTGATAAAATTCTATAGCCATATTTCATGATTGGATGTCTCATAATAAGTTACAAACTTTGCTGCCATAGTAGAAGAGACTACAAGAATTTGTTGAGCACTCTTCCAGGAAATAGCTCTCCCAGCAAGCAAGTAAATATAGAATGATATAGATTTTTTACTGTCTTGACATCAGACAAAATCAGAATTAGAATAACTAATGATCTCCAAGTGATCAAACCTCTTGTATGTGAGCATATAACCTTTTTTTTTTCTGTAGATATTGCATAAGACGTTTGGCTGCTTTCCAATGATCCATATTTGAATTTCTTAAATATCTACCTAATATCCCAATAATGTACACAATATTTGAATGTGTACAAATCTATGCATACATAAGACTCACTATAGTAGAAGCACAAGAAATCTTTTGCATATCTGCAGTCTATAAATCATTCTTGAGGCATTGACTTAGAGTAAACTTATTTTCTTTAGACACAGGAAAGTCACCTGGTTTACAATCTTGCATGTTAAACATTTTAAGAATTTTTTTAATATATCTCTTTTGTGATAATTCAAGAATATTCCGAGACTGATCCCGGTGTATCTAGATTTCTAATACAAAAGAGACATCCCCAAGATCTTTTATCTCAAATTTCTTTATAAAAAATCTCTTGGTTTCGTGCAATAATCTTATATCACTGCTGGTAAATAGTATGTAATCGACATATAAAATCCAAAAAATATACTTACTCCCATTGAACTTGTGGTATACACAATTTTTCACTAAATCATCTCAAAATCAAATGAGATAACAACTTGATAAAATTTATGATACCATTAACGTGAAGTTTGCTCAAGTCCATAGATGAATTTTTTTAGTATGCAAATCATTTGCTGTGCATCTCCGGATACAAAATTTTTTGGTTGTACTATATAAATCGTCTCATTAATGTCACTATTGAGAACGTTGTCTTAACATCCATATAATATAAATCAAGATCAAACTGTACCACTAAATCATTATAGTCTTGAAAAAGTCTTTCGATGAAACTGGATATAAAATCTTTTTATAATCGATGCCTTCTTTTTGTGTAAAGCCCTTAATGACAAAACGAGCCTTGTATCCATCCACATTACATTTCGAATCCCTCTTGGTCTTAAATATTCATTTACAATTAATAGGTTTTGCATTTTTAGGCAATGAGACAAGATCCCAAACGTCATTGTCCTTTTATAG